TTTGCTGGCTGGAGCTCCTGGCTCCAACCCCTGGCACCACACAGTCCCCTGAGCTTTGCTGGAGCTATCCCAGAGCACAGGGCTGGGATCAGCCCCAGAGCCCCCTGGGTGTGGCCAAATTAAAACCAAAAGTCAGGGCTATGTCTGTTCGGGTCTTTGGGACTGACAGGTTGTGACAGGCTCCGGGATTAGGATGCGACCTACAGAGATTAGGTTGCAGACTGCAGTGGCCCTGGGCAGTCTTCCTGTGACTCTGCACGCAGGGGGAGGCTCCGAGAGGATGCAGGCACAGAGTCAGACAGTGAGCAGGAGGTCGCAATACATTAACTCAGCACCAAGGGAGCAGGGGTGGGCGGGAGAGGGTGTGCAGAAGCTCAGACATTCGCCTTGCAAGTATCTGACCAAGCAGGTTCTACCCTGCACCCCATATGGGCCCCCGAGCACTGCCAGAAGTGGTCGCTGAGCACCGAGCCAAAATTAAACCTTGAGCACCTCTGGGTGTGCCCCCAAACAAACAAACTGCAGTTGAACCGGGAGGAAAGGGTGGTCTTGGGGGAATGGTGCTTCCTCCTCAGTTTCAGCTGCCCCAGTCAGTGCCTCCGGCCCCCAGCCTCTCTGAGCTTTGGGCTTTGGGCACGCCTGCACTATTGTGGCCTGCAGGTCCGGTCAAGCGACTGGCATGGGACTGAGCCCATCGCTTCACGCATCTGGGTGCTCTGCCCTGGTCTGAGTGACTCTGCGTGCAGGTCATTCTCTATCTGACACTCTCCTTTCCCACCATGCTGAGCTGGAGAGTGGAGCTCATCGGTTCCATCGCGTGGCACCACAGCTCTACCCCCTTAGCTGTGCCCTGCCCCTGGGCAGCCCCCAGATCTGAATCAGCAGCGCTGCCAGGAACACGTGTCTTCTCTTCCTGTCCCGGCGGCCTATGGCACCACCTGTCCAGGCCCAGGGTGGCCTCGCAGCTTGCCCTTGTCGGGGCATGTGAGCACTTAGTTTTACCAGCTCCCCAATTCTCAGGCGCCTGCGTCTGGGCTCTGGGTTTCAATCCTGCTCTGAAGATCAACCCTCTCTATGTCTACACCTGGAGGGACCACCTCTATGTCTACACCTGGGTAACCACCCTGTGTGTATATACCTGGAGCGACCCCCTCTATGTCCACACCTGGAGCAATCCCCTCTGTATTTACACCCGGAGCAACCCTCTCTATGTTTGGCATATTGAATACGTCATGGGTAGCTTGCCAGGCTTTGCCGCGTGGGCGAGATACTCTCAGTAGCTTGCTGGGCTCTCTGAGAGGGGTGGAGGAATCGAACTTGGCTCGGCAGAGCCGGCTGCACGCAAGGCAAACGCCCTACCGCTGCGCTCTGGCTCCAGTGATGCATTAATAAAAACACTCAAAGAATTATATACCTGAAGCGACCCTCTCTACGTCCTCACTGGAGCAACTCTCTCTATGTCTACACCTGGGCAACCCTCTCTATGTCTACACCTGGGCAGGCAGGATCCTAAGGGCACCCGCCACCTAGGGAAGCTCCAAGGACTGCACACAGCCCCCAAGGACGGGCCTCCCGAGAGCAAGTGCTGGATCAGCTGCGCTTGCCCGAGCTCCTGCAGGGCCTCTGCTCAGACTCAGACCAGCAGGCGCCCCTGTTGCAAGACCAGCCGCGAGCATGCCCGCACCCACGCCCAGCCCCACCCACACCCAGACCCTGCACCCAAGCTCAGACCCCCGCACCCACACCCAGCAACAACCCCCACCCCTGCCCGTACACCCAACCCCAAAGCAGGCACCACCTCATTCTCCTGCCCTCTGGCCCCTCATCCCATGAAGCAGGAGCCCCTCTGCCATGGTGTGAGCTGGAACCTGGGAGCCTGTTCTGAGCACACAGCCCCTGGACGCCCAGTCCACCCTGTGAGGGCAGCAGCCCTCTTCTGCCGCCTTCAGCAGCTGGACGGGAGACTCAGGAATTCTTTGAGTGTTTTTATTAATGCATCACTGGAGCCAGAGCGCAGCGGTAGGGCGTTTGCCTTGCGTGCAGCCGGCTCTGCCGAGCCAAGTTCGATTCCTCCACCCCTCTCGGAGAGCCCAGCAAGCTACTGAGAGTATCTCGCCCACGCGGCAAAGCCTGGCAAGCTACCCATGACGTATTCTATATGCCAAGCACAGTAACAAGTCTCATGATGGAGATGTTATTGGGCCTACCCGAGCAAATCGATGAACAACGGGAGGACCGTGACGGTGATGAGTTGCAAAGCTATTCAAGATTGAGTTTCAGGTGTATGGTGTCCCAACATCCATCCCTTCACCAGTGTCCCAGTTTCCTTCCATGCCCAAACTCTTCTTTTTCCTTTTAGGCACTGTGGTTGGCAATATGGATACTGAGCCAGTATCATGCACGTAACTTTCCCTCCTTTCAGCACCCGACTCTCCAGAGTCACCTGTCCTCTGACCCCCGTGCCCTCAGAGGCAAGCTTCCTACTCCATTTTTCAGGGATTCTTTTTTTCTTTTTGCTTTTTGGGTCATACCTGGCGATGCACAGGGGTTACTCTCAGCTCTGCACTCAGGAATTACTCCTGGCAGGGCTCAGGGGACCACATAGGATGCTGGAAATTGAACCTGGGTCGGCCGCATGCCAGGCAAATGCGCTACCCACTGTGCTATCGCTCCAGCCCCATTCTCAGGGATTCTTGAGGCCCTGCAGTTGAATGTGAGCCAGGCTACTGGGTCCAGGTGCAGTTGCCCCCCGGGTCATATGTGGTTCTGTGAACTCAAGTCACAGAGAAAGAGATGGCAGTCGGGGTCTTCAGAAGGGGAAGGACTTCGGGATATTGAAGAAACAACTGTCCAGTGCAGAGCCCTAGAGGGGGATTTGCAGAGAGCCCGTGAGGACCAGCTGGAACATGTTTCCTGGCTCCAGTCATGGATGGGGGGGGGGGGGAGGGGGGTGTCAGGAAAAGTGGTCAGAGCTGCAAGAGGAAGTGGAGTGTCTGCACCATCCTATGTTGAGAAAGGGGGTGCCCGAGGGCTGAAGCTGGTCATGCCAGAGCCCCCCACCGTCGCTGTTTCTCTAGAGCTGGGAATCAGTGTGAGCTGGGCTCACCGCAGTCAGCCACATCTTCCAGGCCTGCGGCGGGGAGCTGTGTGGGCTGTAGCTCCACTGGGCTGCGTCCCCCCCAACACTTACCCACCCGCCAGAGGCCAGACGCAGAGCACAGGCAACAAAGGCCGTGGACGCAGCCCCCAGGAAGCATTTGATCCTGGGCACCCCTACCCCAGCAGGTCTCTTTGTGGCCTCACCACTGAGCCTTCACTAATGAACACGAAGAGTGAGTTCAGTGGGTGAATAAACAGAGCATTCTAGAAACTATGTTTGGGTTGCTCTAGCCTCTGAGTTTCAGGAGTAAAATAAGGGAAGTTTTTCCAGTGGACCTAAAACAGTAACTCAAAGTCTCCGTGATTCCTCTGACAGTGGAGACCGAGACCACTGACGAAGATGTCTGGGAAGGCTCTGAGCAGCCCAGGATTCTTGTGACGTTTCGCTTGACTTTGAATCTGGTAGCTACAAAAACAGACCCATGGCCTTGTGCCTCTCCCATGGTCTATCATCCCAGGCTTCTTGGAAGCTGCAGCCTGGCATCCCCTGCCCTTTCCAGACAACTTTCCATTCAGCATGTGCTCTTGCTCGATTCTCCAGGGCCAGGTGTGCCTCAGCTGTTGAGCCTTGCACATGTGAGGCCCTGGGCTCCATGCCCCACACCACAAAAAAGAAACAGATAAAATAATAGTAAACAAATCACTCAAACTCTGAAGGATGATTGTTGAAAAGCGGTGATTCCATCCATCTGTTATCTGTATGCTGTTCTTGTTTGGGGGCCATATCTGGCTTACTCCAGGCTCTGTCTCACAGATCACTGCTCAGTGGTGGTGCTCAGGGGCTCATAGGTAGTGCCAGGGGTCACACTTCAGTCAGCCACATGATAGGCAGGGGTCTTAACTCCTACCTACACGCTCTCTCCAGCCAGCCAGGATAACCTCATCCCCCAAAGCAGGTGAAAAAAAACTTAATCTAAGAGATGGCAAAAAATAAATAAATAAATAAAACACCTGTAAATGTAATTGGAAACCACCATCTTTTCATGGTGAAAAAGTTTCTAGTGAACAACTTCATTTCCTTTTCCTTCTTATCAATGCTACCACTCTTGGGCCTGGGGGATTGTTCCAGAGCACTCAGCTCAGATTTTTTTTTCTTTTTGGGTCACACCTTGTGATGCTCTGCACTCAGGAATTACTCCTGGAGGTGCTCCGGGGAACTTACGTATTGCTGGGAATCGAACCCGGGTTGGCCACGTGCAAAGCAAACGCCCTACTCTCTGTGCTATCACTCCAGCCCCTCGGGCTCAGATTCTGGGCAGTGTGACTACTGAAGGCTGTGGTGACTCACCCCTGCCCTGCATAGGCTGCACCCCTGGGCCTGCAGGGACGGGCAGGACAGTTGGACAGGTCAGCGTCACCCGGCCCTTCTCTCTGGGTAATCCCAGTGTTTGGGCGGATGCTTGTCTGTAGCCAAGAACATTATGATCTCATTCCCTGCTGGCCTCACTTTTGTCCCGGAGCACCCCCAGAAGCTTTGCGGGCTGCGGGGGGAGGTATTGAGGAGGTATGGGCACTGGGTGAACAACCTGGAGGAGGAAGGAAGGAGCAAAGGCAGGAGTCTGGCCTCAGCTCTGGGGTGGGAGAGGCTAGCTGATCGGAGCTTCAGTTTTCTCAGATGCAAAGTGGGACTGACTGCAGCTGGGTGAAGGGATGATCTCACAGTGGAGCATCTTGGCTGGCAGGCGATGCTTGGAGGATGCAGGCAGCAAGGGGGTTGGGGTGAGGGGGGCAGGGAGTCCTGAGCCACACTCCCCCCACCCACCAGCCGGGCCAGGGCCCTGTTGGGTGTAGTAACAAGAACGCAGATAAGGGACATGCTGAGAATGAAATCAACCACAGAGTATGTGGCACGCTTTTATTTAGTCCATCTTTATTTAAATGTGTGCTTTCGAAATAGCTTATTAAATAGGACCTTTTAAAAATTCAACTCAATATTTACAGCGAATTTTGTGCAAACATATTTGGACAGTGAGCTTCTTGCCCATCCTTTTCACGTGACTGCTTTACAAATCTGTATCACAACAAAACCTTGGCTACTTCCTTCTCTGCTTCTCAGGCTCGGCTTTCTGGCTGACAGGTACGAAACGAGGATAAAGAACCACCAGGCCAAGTCCCTGGGAAAGCAGATGTTTCCGCCAGTTTATAATCAAAGAATTGTGTAGGGCCTTTGCTTGCTCATGGGAAAAACATGTGTCCTTAAAGAAGACTGAGAAAAATGTTCAGTGGTCATTGTACCTTCTTCTTTTTTAAAAAATACATTTCCTGTCCTCTCTCTAAGCAAGGTAGGAAAAGCAGAAAGGTCGATTTTAAGAGACTCACAATGTTAGGGACTGTAATAAAATAATCTGACTGCAGTAACTGGAGAACAAAGGTTGAAGGTTGACGCTGCCAAATGTCTCCCGCACTGGCCGGGCCAAAGTTGCCGTAAGGCGGGGGACAGGGTGGAGGACGCAGGGCCTGCGACAAGCTACGGAGAATGAAACCAGGTGACACTCTGAGCTCCCAGAGGGCTGAGAACACAGCACCCGATACTGTGACAAGGACAGAGGGCCTCTACGGAACGCAGCAAATCATGATTTGGAAGAGAAATGGTGGGAAAAAATGCCCCTTGTATGGCGTGTAAATCTAACCTTTAGAATCCTATTTGACACATGATGTCTGAAAATGTTTGTTTTCAATCTTATTTCAAACAACATCGACATTTATTCTTGTTGGTTTTATTTATGTATTTGTGTTTTTTAAGGAACTCAAATGAACTCCCTAATCATTCTGGTATACACGAGAATATTGGGGACTAAAATTGGTAGACTTTCTACTTGTTTACTGAAGACTCTTAATGGAAAACTGGAGTGGCCACTAGTTTGAAAATAAGCTGAAAACAAAACGAAACCCATCCCCAAAAGCTTGAGAACTTTTTATCATCATTTGCCCTTCCAACGTGCCCTTGTTTATTAAATTGGTCTACAGACCTGCACCACCTTTTTGACCCCTGGTTTTCTGCATGCTAGGCCTCTAGAGCACACTTGTACACTTTCCCCACAAAAACAGTACCCCGGCAATGATGCATGAAGTGTGCAATTTACTCAGGCCACCTCCCAGGGTCTGCCTCTGACATTTGTTCATTCATCGTACTTAGTTGGTTCCAGGATAACCTGACTACAGAATGAAGTGTTGTGAGCATCCGTGCATGTGTGTGTGTGTGTGTGTGTGTGTGTGTGTGTGTGTGTTTGTGTGTGTGTCTGTGGGGGGGTGGAGGGTGGGGTGGGGGTGGTGCACAGGAGTTAAGCTGAAAAGATCCACTGTAATGAAATGTGGGAAAGAGATCAAAAAGGAAGGCTGAACAAGGAGGTGGGCGTTGATTTCCTAGGAAATCAGTTACAGCACAAAGAGATGGGCAGGACACAAGATTATGACCAGAAACGAGAGCCTTAAATAAATTTCTCTTAAGTGCAAACGCGCAAGCAATTTTGTACCAATTCCCCAGGCCAGTTATCTGAGGCCTGCCTCCTAAGGGTTCAGCGATGCTTCCACCCGGCCTGAGAGCTCAGCTGTAGGAGTCCACAGCCCTGCCGCCTTCTGCCAGCAAAGGGTTACAACTGTTTTCATCAACGTCTAACACAATTGTTCTGATTTCACATAAATAATCACAGACTTGATTAAAATGAATATATTATTCTAGGTTAATTTGTTTTCATTCAAATGTTTTTATATTTCATCTACCACAAACAATGAATTGAGCAAAATATAGGCACCTCCTAAGCCTTCCCCCAAACGATCACTTTTTTGAAATGACACATTTTGTACAAACAACAAGTGAGACAGTGAGTGTTGCAAGAAACGAGGCGAGGTCTTCACGGGGCTGTTTTCTTCAAGTCTCGAATCTGCTTGATCAGGTAGTTCTTCTCATCGGTGAACTGCTCATCATCTGTCCTCTCCTTCTGGAAGCTGCTCAGAAACTCAATGAGCTTGGGCTGGTTCTTCAACAGGATCTCCACGATAGGCTGTGTTTTGTGAGGACTGGCCACGAACACCTGAAACATACAGAAACAAGTATGTAGGACAAGGCACACAGGCCAGCCGGGGACAACAGGCCATACTTGTGGCCAGTGTCTTACTTTGTGTCACGTTTGTTACTAATAAGCACAGAGTCCAAGGTTATAGTCCTCATTGAGAAAAATCAGTAATTTCTCCATATCCGTTTTCCATACACAAAATATAAAATAGAAACAGACTTAGATGTATTTAATACATTCATTTGGTTTGGGAGCCACATCCAGCTGTGCTCAGAGCCTACTCCTGGATCTGCACTCAGGGATAAGCTGGTAAGGCTCAGGGGTCATATGTGGTACCAGGGATCGAACCTATGTCAGCCACTGGCAAGGTAAACCTCCTGCCTTCCGTCCTATCTTTCAGTTCCCAGGAATGTACTTGATAAATTTAGAGTGAAAGATTATGATACATTTTTAAAAAATAATTAAACATTTAGTTATGAGTGATTTATTATACTAATATATCCTGATATATTAATGAAAATCTAAGAGCGAATATATTTAATATTTAACATATTCATCTGGCTCAAAGTACAGAGTGGCAGTGGTAAAAAGTTCTTATCGCTTTCCCTGACATCTTCCCTTCAGGGGTCTAAGGTACAGATTTTCTTCCAACTGCTCCGGGCCCAGTTTCCACAGCCTCCCATTCCGCAGTCTAGTCTCAGAAAGGTCCATGTTGACACCAAGGTCAACTGATAATTCAGCTACACTGTCAAAGACAGCACTGGCAATTCTCAACCCAAACTCAACATGATAATACCAACCAGTACATTATTTTTCAATGGATATACTTCCTAGTGAGACGCTACACATAAGATGACAGCATAAGGAATTTTATAAATTTTCAATGATCAATTAACATCTCATTTATATCGAATGTTCTATGTTTATGTTTAACTATGTTTAACTATTCAAAATTCCTTTTCTTAAGATAAAACACCTTGTACTTCTATAGGCCTATTCAGATTTTCACCTTTAAATTTTCTTAATTATCTTCATTCTTGAGCATTGACGAAGATCAGAACTCCGGATTCTATCTCTCATTTGAGTGAATCGTGATATTCCAAGCATAGTTCTTTCGATTCCTCTTTGAGAGACCCGAATAGCGTTCTCATCCTGTTTTCGTAGGGTCCAGGTCTCTGAGGCATATGTTAATGCAGGAAGAACAGTGGAATCAAAGAGATGTGCTCGTAGCTGGAGGTTCTTTGTCCTTTTAGTTATTTCTTCAATGCTCTTGAAGGCATTCCAAGCCGCTCTCTTTCTCCTGCGCAACTCAGGTGCCAGGTCATTCATCATGTTGATTTCTCGACCTAGGTATATATAACTGTTGCATTCGGAGATGGTGGTTCCGCTGAGAGCGAATGGAGCGTCAGGAACAAGGCTGTTTCTCATAAACATTGTCTTCGTAAGATTCAGCTGTAGTCCGACCTTTCCACATTCACGGTCAAAGTCGTTCAGCATTTGTGCCGCTTGGCTGATGTTTGATGTTATTAGAACGATGTCATCAGCAAAGCGGAGGTGGTGTAGTTGCCGACCATCTATCTTCACTCCCATGTTTTCCCATTCCAGTCGTCGCATGATGTTCTCGAGGGTGGCACTGAAGAGTTTTGGTGAAATGGTATCACCCTGCCAAACCCCTCTCTTGATATGGATGATTACTTTTTGTAGAATGGTGAGATCTTGGTAGTGAATCCGCAATAGAGCTCACGAAGGATCCTGATGTATTGAGTTTGTACGCCCTGATTGGCTAGGGCTTCCATGACCGCTTCCGTCTCAACAGAATCAAAGGCCTTCTTTAAATCAATGAACGTTAGACAGAGCGGCATCTTGAACTCTCAAGATACCTCAATGAGCTTGGTTATTGTGTGGATATGGTCGATGGTACTGAATCCTTTTCGGAATCCAGCTTGTTCACATGGTTGTCCTTCATCTAGTGTTCTGCTAATCCTATTCAGGATGACTCGAGTGAATAGTTTGTAGATGACAGACAATAGGCAGATTGGGCGATAGTTGCCAATGTCGTGGATGTCTCCTTTCTTGTATAGTAGTACAGTCCTGTTGGTTTTCCATTGGGATGGAACCTTGCATTCAGACAGGTAGCGTGTGAAGAGTCGAGCCAATGTATTGATGAGTACTGATGGTAAGTTCTTCAGGTGTTCAGGTCTGATCTTGTCTGGGCCAGGTGCTCTTTGTTTCTTTACCGACGAGATGGCATGTTGGATTTCGGAAGGGAGAACATTGGGAACGACACATCCATCATGTGGTATGTGGTATGTGGGCAAGTGGATGTGGCTATTAAAGAGATCTGAGTAGAAGTCATGAATAATCTTCTCCATTGCTCTTCTGGAAGATGTGATAGATCCATCATGATGTCGGAGGGCAGTCATCTTGGTTTTGTAGTTGGTGAAGGACAGGCGGGCACTACGAATGTTTTACCCAGCTTCTGCTGCATCTACCAGTACTGCTGCTCTCCTGTTTTTGAGGTCATCCTTGATGGCTTCTCTGCACTGTTTTGCCAGTTCGGATGTTCGCTTGTGGTTGCCTGAGGCATGTGCCAAGCCACGTTGGCGAATAAGTTCAAGAGTGTTCGAAGAAAGACGGTTTTTTGTGGTTATCTCTCTCTTGGCATTCCTTGCACAATCATGGAGGTGCTGAATCATTCGATCGTATTCCTCATCAATGTTGTCAATGACGGCATCTTCCCATGTTGCCGCAATAGAGCCAAAGAGCTCCCAGTTGGTGGTTGTCTCATTTGCCAAGACATCAAAAATCAGATGGGCTGGACACGTAATGAGGTTTACAGACAACCGCTGGACTAGAGCCATTACTGATTGGATTCCACGGGACATCAAAAGATCACGTGGATGCCCACCTATAAGATGGTCAGACTTCTTCGTCAAGACCCTAAATGATCGGTTTGAGGCTCTGCATGTTCCTAGAATGAACAGGTACCATTGGGCTACGCTAGCACGCAACCGGGATGAATGGAGACGTTACTGGCACCCGCTCGAATAAATCGATGAATAACGGGGATTAAGTGATTAAGTGATTAATTATCTTCATTATTATCTTAATTTTCTTCCTAAAGTTTACAGTTGCAGAACTTACCTATTTCATGTAAACTCTAAAATATATTTATGAAGAATTAAAAAAATAGTTTTATTAAAGATGGGAAAGATAGGGTTATTACCAGAACAAGACACAGGCACAAAATAGAAGTTAATAAAATACATTTTAGACACCAGAGTTGAAAACTTACCTATGTAAATGAAATTAGGCAGCATATTATGTTGTATTAAATGATTTTAATGTCTTTATTTACATAGGTTAAATCATATAGCAATCAATCACCACAGATTGGCTTTTATTAATTTATTTTTTGATAGTTGAATTTGCCATCCTCTGTTTTCTTGGAGCAAGGAATATGAAATAAATTTGTTTTGTGCCTGTTAAGGGGGGCAGGCTGGAGGCGGGAAGGGAAAATGGAGACATTGGTGGAAGGAAGGTCACACTGGTGGTGGGATTGGAACTGGAACACTATACGTCTGATACAACTGTACTCTGAGTAGCACTGTAGCACTGTCCTCCCGTTCATCAATTTGCTCGAGTGGGCACCAGTAACATCTCTATTGTGAGACTTGTTGCTACTGTTTTTGGCATATCGAATATGCCATGGGGAGCTTGCCAGGCTCTGCCATGTGGGCGGGATACTCTTGGTAGCTTGCCGGGCTCTCTGAGAGGGATGGAGGAATCGAACCGGGGCTGGCCACGTGCAAGGGTGAACGCCCTACCTGCTGTGCTCCAGCCCACAGACCAATATCTCTTATAAATAAAGGTGCAAAAATCCTCAACAAAATAAAAGCAAAGCAAGTTCGTGATCATACTAAAAAAGATTATATGCTGGGGCCAGAGTGATAGTACAGTGGGTAGGGCATTTATTTGCCTTGCACGCGGCTGACCCAGGTTCAGTCCCTAGCATCCCATATGGTCCCTCAAGCAATGCCAGGAGTAATTCCTGAGTGCAGAGCCAGGAGTAACCCCTGAGCATCACTGGGTGTGACCCAAAAAACAAAAACAAAACACCTATGATCAAGGAGGATATATTCCAGAAATAAATACAAGGGTGGTTTAGTATAGTGTAATGCACCACATGTACTAGGTAGATTGAGCGGTTTCCCTTCAAAAGATTAATGTTCAGATCTTAACCCTAGGTACTTATGAATGTGGCCATATTTGGAAATACAGTGGTAATTCAATTTAGGTGAGGTCATCCTTGCTTAGGTGCGCTCCAATCCTGGGACTTACATCTCCACAAGATGAAGGAAATCCCACATGCAGATGAAAACAGAGATGACACCTGTAAGTCCAGGAATGCCAAGAGCAGCTGGCGGCCACAGAAGCCAGGAGAGAGACGGAGTCTCTGAAGAGTAACCGAGCAGCCCACACTCTGACCTTGAAATTCTAATCCCCAGAACTGTAAGAAAATAACTCGCTACTGTTTAAAGACAATTTTGCTTTGGCTGCTCTAGTAAACTCTGATTCCACATTAATACAATAAGAAAACCACATGATCAGTTCAGTGAATGCAGAAAAGGTATTTGACGACACGTTTTCAAGAGGAGAGAAATTATCTGCAAACAACATTAGTTTCTAGTATTTGGAATACATAAAAAAAACTTACACCTCAATAACAACAACAACAAAATCTCTTTTTAAAGAGTGAGACTTGGAGAGATATTTATCTAAAGAAGATGGGGGAGGGGTAGTGGTATGGTGCCACCAGCTGGTCAACTTGTACCTGCGGGGCGAGTGTATCAGCAGCCTGATGGTGTCTACAGGCTTCCTGATACCCCCAAATTGCCACTGTGTCTATGGCCAGACCCCAACAACTTGGGACCAAGCTTACTAAGAAATTAAACGGCCAAAAGTTAGGTACATGGAAGCCGCACCCACAAACCACCTCCAGCTCATCTATACAAACC